GTCTAGCAGATTAGATTTCTTATTGTTAAGATGATAATATTGTTGAAACTAAACTATAGATTCAACACAATCCTTATTTTAAAAAATCTCAAGTGGCCTTTCTTGTAGAAATTGATAAGCTGATTGCTAAATTCCTATGAATACAATACAAGGGAGACAAACTAGCCAAAAAAAAATCTTGTGAAAGAACAAAATAAAAAGACTCATACTTCCAACTTGGGAAACTTACCACAAAGCTGTACTAATCTAGACTATGAAGGTGACATAAAACTAGACAATGGGATGGAACTGAGAAAAATACTCAGTGAGACAGAACTGGGAATTCAGAAACAAATTCTTACAGGTAGAGTTGATTGGTTTCCATACAAAAGTGCTAAGACATTTCAAAAGGGCAAAGAATCATCTTTGCAACAAATGGTTCATGTGGAGTGTACCAACAAAGAGTAGTAATGGCCTATCTAAATGTCCAGGTACAAAAGGATAAAGTTGAAATCCTGCATTGTACTGCATAGAAACATCAGCTCAAAGTGCATCACTGACTTAAATTTAAGAGTTCTAAAGGGTTCTAAAGGCATACATTTACTTGACTTTGGTTAAGTACTGGTTCTTACATATAACACTAAAACCAATAACAAAAGAAAAAATAAGTGTATCATCAGAACTGTTCAATTCTGAGCTTTTACGTCATCCTATCAAGTTGAAAACACAACCTAGAGAATGGGAGACAATATTTGCAAATCATGCATTGGATAAGGCACATACTGTACATAAAGAACTCTTAAAAATCCAAGAATATAAAGTCAAATTACCAATTTAAATGAGATAAAGCCTCTTCCATTTTTTTCCCAAAGAAGATAGAAAAATGACCAATAAGCACCTGAAAAGATGTTTGGTGCCATTAGAAATGGCGGAAAAGCAACAACAACAATACCAACAACAAAAGGCAATACCAAAAGTTATGCCAAGAACTGAAGCAACTGGAATCCTCATATACTGCAGGAGATAAGGTAAAATGTATAGCTAGCCATGATGGAAAACTGTAGCTCCTTAAATGGTTAAACATAGAATTATCCATCACATCGATTCAACAATTCCACTCCAACTTCTATACCAAAGAGGAAAAAAAGTCTCCTTATCATTAATTTCTATATAAAGTTCAGGGCAGCCATTATTCATAATAGCTAAAAATTAGAAACAATGCTGATGAATGGATAAGTCAAATGTATCCTCTTTATTCAATGGACTTTTATTTGGCAATGAAAAGAAATGATATACTGGTATGTACTTCAACATAGATAACCCTTGAAATCCTGTGCCAGTGAAAGAAGTCACCCATAAAACCATCACATATTAATATATCACCCCGTTTACATGAGATGTTCTCTTTTTTTGTTGCTTTTGCCAGCACCAGGACTTGAACTCAGGGCCTGGGTGCTACCCCTGAGCCTCTTTGTGCTCAGGGTTAGTGTTCTACCATTTGAGCTGCACCTCCACTTCTGACTTCCTGGTGGCTCATTGAAAATAACAGCCTCTCATGGACTTTGCTGCTGGGGTTGCCTTTGAACCGAGATCCTCAGATCTCAGCTTTCTGAGTAGCTAGGATTACAGGTGTCAGCCACAGGCACCTGGCCACCTGAGATGTTCTTAAATAGGCCAAGCCAGAGGAAGGGAGTGACCAGGGTGGAAATAGGTATTAGGGGTTGTGCTACACTACGAATCTACTGAAAACAGTGAACTGTGTACTCTTAATGTATTGTATGATATGTAAATTAAATACCAATGAAGCTGATTTTCTAAAAAAAGAAAAGAGAAACAGGTCTAACTGCTTACTTTAAGAAATATCTATTGCGTGGAGAAAGGAATGGTGAGTAGAAACTCAATATTCAATGCACATATGTGAGAATGGAACTAGATAACGAGAAGGGTCAGAGAGACAGTGGAGAATGACGGAAGGGTTGACACTAAAGATACATTATTACAAACTGTTATGTTGAATTGAAACCCCTTTGTACAACTACTTAAAGATCATAAAATTGCTGAACTCCGGTTTAGCTACTCAGAAGGCTGAGATCTGAAGATTGTGGCTTGAAGCCAGCCCTGACAGTGAAGTCTATAAGACTTTTTTTGGGGGGAGGGGGGAGGGCAGTCCTGGGGCTTGAACTCAGGGTCTGGGCACTGTCCTTGAGCTTCTTTTGCTCAAAGCTAGCATTCTACCACTTAAGCCACACACCTCTTCTGGCCTTTACTGTTTACGTGGTACTGTGGAATTGAACCCAGGCCTTCATGCATGCTAGGCAAGCACTCTACCAATAAGCCACATTCCCAGCCCCTCCCTGAAACTCTTGATCTATAATTAACCACCAAAACCCAGTAGTAGAGCTGTGGGTCAAGTGGTAGAGTGTTAGCCTTGAACAGAAAATCTCAGGGACAATGCCCAGGCCCTGAGTTCAAACCCTAAGACTGGCACAAAAGAAAAAAATTATAATAAAAATGAATATATTTTTAAAAAAGAAATGACAACTACTAGCCTTCCAAGATTCCAGAGAAATGGGCATGTCCTAAACTGAGAAAGGCTTAGTAGAACCAGAAGTCAACAGAGAAAAAGCAAGCTAACTTCTGGCTATACTGAAAGTTTTTACAAAAATTCAAATTGAGTGGCAAATCGAACTATTAGACTCTGTGCTACTGAGTCCTCAAACTCAAACAGATCTTCTCCTGTAAGCACTCAAAATGAGAATAATCTTTAATACTGTATTCCGCAGTGGCTGCTCCAGACTTAAACTACAAAGTAGTAGATAGGTGTGGCCAGACAGACCAGCAGTCTTCACTCTACCTATAAAGCCAGGGTTCACCCACTAACAAGAAGTAAAGAAAATGCTTAGAAGAACAGAAGAATACAAACATCAGTGCAAAACTGACCAAATGTTATTATGTTTCTGGTTTTCGTTTTCTCTTAATCTGATAGTACAACTTCTAGAAAATGGAGTAACTTCAACAGAGGTCAAGCAGGTACCATGATAAAATTGCCACACTTGTCCATTGCCTGAAGGCCTAACCACTAGCATGCCATAACTTATTTAAAAACAAAAAACTACTCTTGTGGACTAGTCATTTCAATTTACACAAACATTTAATCCATAAAGCCAACAACCTGCCATTTAACACTAATAGTATTCTGTGTTTCTCTAGAAAAAAATACTTTTTCTTTTTTGGTCAGTTGTAGGGCTATAACTCAGGGTCTGGGCACTGTCCCTGAGCTCTTTTGCTCAAGGCTAGCACTCTACCACTTTGAGCCACAGCACTTCTGGTTTCTTGCTGGGTAATTGGAGATAGGAGACTCATGGACTTCCTTGCCCAGGCTGGCTTTGAACCACTATCCTCGGATCTTAGCCTTCTCAGTAGCTAGGATTATAGGTGTAAACCACTAGCACTGGGCAAAAATACTCTTAGTGAGTACTGCTTAAATCACTTCTTTACTTAATTTGCACATTTTGTTGGATTTTAGAATAGGAGTTAAAACATGACTATGAAAGTAAAGGCAGTTACAATTTAGGATTCTACTTGCTTCAACTTCCCTTATGAGTCCTTCTTGGTTTTATAAAGCTTTATTCACTTTTCCATCATTCACCCTAATAAGATTTTGTGACAACAGAGCCTTCCTGCATACCTGCTGTATTGGAGTGATGATTTAATTCATTCTCTGTATCTCTACCCCTCAAAGTACAACTCTTGCTTGCAAGGAAAGGTTATCACACTGCTTTAAAGTAAGACAGAAGAAATAGTTTCCCACAATTGACACCCAAAACATCCCTCAAAAAGCCATCAAAGGAAGTCTGTTTGATGTTCAGAGCACTATAATATGTCATTATGGATCCTTTCAATATTCTTTCTTTCCTCTGCAAGAGGTCATTCTTCTATGGCATGAGCTTAAACCTCTAGTGCAGCTGTACGACATAAACAAAACCATGGTAGGGCGGGGGATATGAAATTATAGAATGCTATCTACTTGGACATCCTGGAACAGATTCAGAACCTTCCTCTGCACCCTGTCATTTCCGTTCAGCTAGATCCTGTTGACGTTTACCCAATTTTTAAAAGTCTATCACGTATCTCAATGAACGACATCAATGGTCTCTTCAAGATGGTTGTTGATTTTGTTCAATCATTGATGGAAAAGTATCAAAATACTCTGTAAATTATGCCATTAGCCAATCACACAATAGACTTGTTTATCCTTAGACTTCTGGGAAGATGCCAGACTACAAGCTACTTACCCTTGCCGCCCCCCCCTTTTAAAAGAAAAGATGGGAGGGGGGTGGAAGTAAAGTTTTTAAACGGGAATATGTACCGCTCAGGAACTTATTACATGCCTTTCCATCAAATGAACTGCAGCTCTCAAAAGCCAAATGCACGAAATCGTGTCCCCAAACCTCGATAGTGAATGTGCCTAACGAAAAACAAAACAAGTACCATTGGAAACAATTACACGTGCCGGGGCTGGTCATTACATATTCAGCACTCTGCCAGGGTAGGGCTTCCACTCGGAATAACAAACCATAAATCAGTTGACACGCTTGCAAGAATTCAGTCCTCGTCTGTTCGGAAACCAAGCATACATACAGGAGGGAAAGAAAAAAAAAGAAAGAAAGCCCGTCGGCGTGTTTCTCTGGCGAAGTTTCGCCAAAAACAAAAACCCAAAACTCGACCCAGACAAGCGCAATGGCGATTCTCCTGAGTTTCTGGCTCAGCAGACGTCTGGATGAAGCCCAGGCAGGTCGCACAGAAAACGCGGCCTGCGCCTTTAAGGTAACCAATCGGCCAGAGCCCAAAGACGTCGGACTTTCCACGACAAAGGCTCGGGCCAGCTCCAGCTCCGGGGTTTCTCCGTGGGACTTGGCGGGTTGGGCGGCCCGGGCCTGTCCCAGGGCCCGCGGCCAGCCCCGGC